GACACACGATTTACGTGGTTCACTAACACGATGTGTGTTAGCTAGTCCACGGGCGAGAGAGATCCAGTTTCACTATATCGAGGAGATTACAGAGGAGTATGAGAAGTATTTATAGTACTTCTCCATGTGGGTCTAAACCTAATCCAATATGGCAAAGGAAACAGTTACAGACCAGGCCCAGAACCCGAACCCAAATAACAGCGAGACCCCCGACTACCAGTTGTAGCGGCTGATAGTCCGATTCGAGTCACATCACCAAATCTTCACCTTGACTTGAATCCTCTTCCTCTGAAATCTCTGATGTACTCTGCTCCTTCTCTCTCTCTCTCTCCCCCCGCCATCAATTCCCCGCAGCGCGGAGTCACCCACTCAAGACATTCAGCAAGTTCAAGCAGTGTTGGAACTTGCCATGTGGAACCGGCTTCGTGAACATATCAGCAGGATTATCCGCGGTGCCAACCTTCTTCACCTTAATCCTCTTCTTTGTCCTCAAGTAATGATACCTCACGTCGATGTGCTTAGTCCTCTCATGGTGGACTTGATCCTTGGCCAAGCATATTGCACTCAAACTGTCGCAATACACCACTGCCTGATCATGATGTAGATCCAGATCACCAACCAGTCCCTTCAACCATATTCCCTCCTTAGCAGCTTCTGTCAACGCCATATATTCTGCCTCAGTAGTAGACAATGTCACCGCCGACTGCAGAGTTGCCTTCCAGCTCACTACAGAACTCCTAAGAGTGAATACATAACCGGTCATCGATCTCCTCGTGTCAACATCTCCAGCATAGTCCGAGTCAGAATACCCAGACACCAAGCACTCTGTATCACTTCCGAAGCTAATCCCCACATCAGGTGTACCCTTAAGGTACCGGAAGATCCTCTTCACAGCCTGCCAATGCTCCTTCCCAGGTTGTATCATAAACCTGCTGACAACACTAACAGCATGTGCAAGATCAGGTCTAGTGCATACCATAGCGTACATCAAGCTACCTACTGCACTAGCATATGGGACTCTCGACATGTACTCCTTCTCAGCCTCTGACTGCGGTGCATAAGCTGAGGATAGATGAACATTTGAAGCACTAGGAGTATTTAAGGGTTTTGCTGAAGACATGCAAAACCTCGACATTATCTTCTGGATGTAGCTCTTCTATGACAAGAAAAGCTTCTTCTTCAACCTATCCCAGTAAATCTCCATACCCAAGATCTTCTGAGCAGCTCCCAAATCCTTCATCTCAAACTCAGCACTGAGAAGCCCCTTTAACTTCTGGATATCAGACTTCAAACTCGCAGCTATGAGCATATCATCCACATACAGAACAAGATAGATCATCGAACCATCCTCCACCTTGTTGTGATACACACAACAATCATATGGACTTCTGCTGTAGCCCAGCTCAAGTATGTAGCTGTCAAATCTCTTGTACCACTGCCTCGGAGACTGCTTAAGTCCATACAAGGACTTCTTTAGCTTACAAACATAATCTTCTTTTCCCGGAACCTCGAATCCTTCTGGCTGAGTCAGGTAAATTTCTTCCTCTAACTCTCCATGTAGGAAAGCTGTCTTCACGTCTAGCTGCTCGAGATCCAAGTCATAATGTGACACTATTGCTAGTAGCACTCTGATCGAAGTATGTCTGACCACTAGTGAGAAAATCTCATTGTAGTCAACTCCTTCCTCTGCGAGAAGCCACGTGCAACCACCCGAGCTTTAAATTTCATGCCCTCTTTAGAATTGATTCCTTCCTTCTTCTTGTAGATCCACTTGTTTGTAACAATCTTCCTTCCCTGTGGTCGTTTGACTAGCTCCCAAGTCTAATTCCTGTCATGGGATTCCATCTCATCTCCCATTGCGGCAAGCCACTGATCAGCTTCGCCACCCGAAACGGCTTCTCTATAGGACTGTGGCTCACCTGCATCCACTTCTTCAGCAACCTTAAATGAATACGCCACCATGTCCTCGAAACCATACCTCTCTGGAGGTACTCCTGCAGTCACTCTCTTTGGTCTACCGGAAGCTATAGACTGTTGAGCTCCTGCACTGGACTTTGAAGTTTCTGGCTCTGTAGAAACATCCTCATGTTGATCTTCTCCACCTTGGTGCTCAAACTCACTCTCATTGAGAGTTTGCAGCTCCACCTGCTTATCAACATTCCTGCTACCTTCAACAACAGTAACCTTCAACATGGGGTTAAACATAGACTTCTCATCAAATATCACATTTCTGCTGAGTATAACCCGATGCTCAGAAGGTGACCAGACTCGAAATCCCTTAACTCCATCTCCGTAACCCACAAATACACCCTTCTTTGCCCTTGGGTTCGGTTTACCCTCATCCACATGATAATAAACAGGACACCCAAAAACTTTCAGTGAAGAGTAATCCGCAAGCTTACCATACCACACCTCATAAGGAGTCTTCAACTCGATACCTGTGTGAGGTCCACAGTTGATCAGGAAGCATGCAATGTTCACTGCTTCTGCCCAGAATCTTCTCTCTAGTCCAGCATTAGAGAGCATGCATCGTGCTCTCTCCAACAATGTTTGGTTCATCCTTTCTGCAACGCCATTCTGCTGGGGTGTATCTCTCACGGTCCGATGACGGGCAATCCCTTCATCCTTGCAGAATTCGTTGAACTCACAATTACAGAACTCCAGACAATTGTCTGTTCGCAGCTTCTTGATCTTCTTACCGGTATGATTCTCCACCAATGTCTTCCACTGCTTGAACTTCGTGAAAGCCTCACTTTTCTGCTTCATCATGAAAATCCAAGTAAATCTTGAATAATCATCAATAATAGACAGAAAATACTTGCTGCCTCCAATGGATTCAACTCGTGAAGGACCCCAACAATCAGAGTGGAGGTAATCCAATATCCCCTTCGTCCGGTGGATACCCTTCTTGGGAAACTTGCTGCGATGTAGCTTCCCAAACACACAATGCTCACAGAATTCCAAATTCTGCACCTTGTGCCCGCAAAGAAGATCCCTCTTCGATAGAACTTGCATCCCCCGTTCACTCATATGCCCCAGTCTCATGTGCCAGAGAGTGGTCATATCTTCCTGATGAACCTGAGACGATGCAACTGCAGCAGAACCAGACAACAGACCCTTTTAATGTATACAAGGTCCCACGCTTCACGCCCTTCAGTACCTTCCTTGAACCTTTGCAGACATATACAACTCCACTTTTCCTTTGAAGCTGAAACCCTTGCTGTCGAGATCAGGTTCTTTGTCATTCGTGGAACATGTCTGACATCATTCACGGTACAGAACGAACCATCATGTGCCCGAGCCTTTATGGACCCGATTCCAACAACCTTGCAGACAGCTCCATTTGCCATGACCATGTTACCACCATCTATCTGCTCGTAGGTTGTGAAGCAATCCCTGTTCGGAGACATATGGTATGAGGCTGCAGTATCCAGAAACCACACATCCCCACGATGTGCCTTCTCATCTACAGCCAATGCGAGATCGTCTTCAGAACTGTTGTCCACTTCTGCCACGGCAACTGAACCTTGTTTCTTCTGTTGCCCTCTTCTCATGGGAAAGTTGTACTTCCAATGTCCCACTTCCTTACAGTTGTGACCAGCATCACCTGGCTGTGGATCGGGACCCTTGGAATTCTTGTTTGAATTCCCTTTACCATATTTCTTCTTTCCCTTTCCACCTGTAACAGCCAAACCCGATGCCTCACCACCTGTACCAGATCCGGATGCCTTATGCCTGATCTCTCTCGTATGAAGAGCAGACCTGACATCCTCCAACGACACACTTTCTTTACCGGCAATAAAAGAATCAATGAAATTTTCATATGAACTCGACAAAGAAACCAGCAGGATTAGGGCAGCATCCTCGTCATCAACTTGAACGTCTATATTACGCAGATCCAGCAAAATAGAGTTAAGCTGTTCGAGATGTTCCCTCAAAGGCGTACCTTCTTGCATCCTCAAGCTGAACAACAGTTGCTTGAGATGCAGCTTATTGGTTAGAGGCTTCATCATATACAGACTCTCCAGTTTCAACCACAAGCTCGCGGCAGTCTTCTCAGCAGCGACTTCAATGATGACGTCATCAGACAACGATGGCATGATGGTCGAGTGGGCCTTGTCCTCCAGGGTATTCCACTCATCGTCATCGACCGCTGCCTTCTTCTGTTTCGCAGACAGCAGCCCTCACAGCCCTTACTGTTTTAATAAAGCCTGCATCTTGATCTGACATATAGCGAAGCTGTTCTTCCCCGTGCACTTTTCGATCTTCATGTTCACCGACGTCAATCTTCTGAATCGAAAACCCTAGCCTAATTTCCAGTCGCGGCTCTGATACCACTTGTTATAAACGCGCTGCTACGGATCGGGAAATCGCCGGAATCGATAAAGCGAGAATACGAAAGCGAGAATCGAAAAAACACAGACACACGATTTACGTAGTTCACTAACACGATGGGTGTTAGCTAGTCCACGGGCGAGAGAGAGCCAGTTTCACTATATCGAGGAGATTACAGATTACAGAGGAGTATGAGAAGTATTTATAGTACTTCTCCATGTGGGTCTAAACCTAATCCAATATGGCAAAGGAAACGGTTACAGACCAGGCCCAGAACCCGAACACAAATAACATCGAGACCCCCAACTACCATTCGTAGCGGCTGATAGTCTGATTCGAGTCACATCAGCCCTCAACATGGATTCACACCTGATATGATCCTGGATTGGTTCATTATCGAGCTAGAGTTACTTGCCAAAGAAGTCAACCCAAGTCATTTGAAGAACATGAAGTTGTGGCTAAGTCAATTGCCGTGCTCAAGTAGCCTACTTTGGAGGCAAATTTCTTTTAATTGGCTTGATGAAATGGTGCATTTGAAGGCTTGTCGTGAAGATAAAACTTTATTCTATACGATGGTGGGCTTGGTGGAGCAAGACAATGTGCTGAAGGACATTATCCAGGTGTGTAAACATGCTAGGAAGCAATATGAAAACTGCCAGAAAACGGCTAAGGCAGGAAGCTGTGTTGAGGAAGCTACTTTGAGACTCTATTCGACACATATGGATGATAATCGAGTTAGGAGCTTCTTTCCACATGAAAGTATGCATGTTAATCTACAAAGGAGGGGCATTGGCTGATTCATAGCATACCTGGAAGACTTCCATCGAGTGGCTCAAAGATGGTATGGAGGCCTGTTTGGTGACTTGAGCAAAAAGGCAGAGTTGGAATCCTTGTTGCATTCAGATTCGTTTGTTTTGAGTTTCCTTGTTGGTTTTAGCTTCTGATTTCGTTTTAGGTTAAATTGTGAGCTATATTTAAGCATCGCAAAGGGTCTGTTATATTGGTTCGTTGATTGATTAAAAATAAAACCCTAAAACTAAGTGTCATCGCTAGTTTTTGGTTGAGAGTTTGGCCGAGAAAACCAAACTCGAATCAAGCTCTTGTATCGATCAAAATCACATTGATCGTGGGCGAGCATCGACTTATATTCATTGAGCCTTCCTCCAGGTGTAGGATTTCACATTGAATTCCATCTTTACCTCGTGTTTCGTTGTGATTGACGGTTCGTGGAAGAGTTCTCGAGCTTGAATTGTCAAGCTTGTGTTCGAACAATCAAACACCCATAGTCGGGTGTTATCAAGTGGCATCAGAGCCTTAGGTTCAACGCAGTGGCAAGGAAGATTTCGACGAAGGAGGGCGTTGCCGACGCAGCGCCTTGGACGAGGTCAAGGGGCCCTGTTTCAGGTGACCCCGAGGTTCTGATTTTGGAGCATCAGGCGAAGAAGAAGCAGGCGGCTATGGGGAATCAGCAACCTATTACAATGGCGGCCTTACAACAATTGTTCCAGGAGCAGTTTGCACAGGTTAATCAACAATTGGCCGAACTTCAATTGAGGGTCCCTGCTTTGCCGGCAAACGAACAGAGGAACCAGGAAAATCCTCTCCAGAATCGTGAACTAGAGGGTGTCAATCGAGATTTGTTGGCACGAATTGAAGAACTGGAGCAACGGGTTGTGGTAGCTGAACCAAATCCTCGACCATTCCCAGGCCGTCGTGAACACAGGGATCGGCGACCGGAAACGGAACCTGCTCTGCCTCAGGGAGTTAAGCTGACGATCCCAACGTTCCCAGGAATGATGAACGCTTCCACCTATCTTGATTGGGAACGTAAGATGATCATGTTCTTTCGTTGTGGGCAATTCAGCGAGGATCAAAAAGTAGCAATGGCCACTTACGAGTTTTCGGATTATGCTGCCCAATGGTGGGAGCAAATCCAAATTCGCCGACAACGTAACCTGCAAGCTCCAGTCGAAACGTGGGATGAATTGCGAAGCTTGATGAGGGAGCACTTTGTCCCAGCCTATTACCTACGCGATCTATATGATACACTGCAAGGACTTCGCCAAGGATCGAGGAGCGTCGAAGAGTATTTAAGAGAATTGGAATTGCTTTTACTCCGGGCAGACGTTCGAGAAGACAGGGAGGCTACGATTTCGCATTTTTTACATGGCCTGAATCGCGAAATTCGACAAGAGGTGGAGCTGAGGCCGTTTGTCAACCTGGAAGAGGTTGTGCATCTCGCCGTCAGGATCGAGAAGCAGCAGAAGACGGCGACAGGACGACGGTTTTCCCCTGCAGCAAAAACCGGAGCAGAGCCGCCAGCTGAACCCACTCTGCCTCTGCCACGAACCGACGCGGTGCGACTAGCCCCCCGTAACACCAATCCCATTGTAACTGAATGTTCCGGGACGATCCAGTGCTTCAAGTGTCACGGACGGGGACACAAGGCTAATCAATGTCCTAATTCTAAGGCCTTGATTCTCCAGGATGGAGAATACATCACCGACGATGAGGAGCAGAACTCTGATGACGACACAACCGACGAAGAGATTGAAGTAGAGAAGGCTCCAACTAGGAAGCTTCTGGGAGTCAACAGGAGAGCCCTCACGGCTGAGGCTTCCCCGGATTCAGACCAACGTGAAAATCTGTTTCACTCGCGTGTTTGGTTGCCGGAAAATTGTTGTCCTTAATCGTCGACGGCAGCAGTTGTGCAAATGTCATTAGCCAGGACGCAGTGTCCAAGCTTGGGTTGAAGACATCGCGACACCCTGAACCATACAATCTCCACTGGTTGAATGATTATGGGGCAATCCGAGTGACCAAGAGAGCCAAGGTGAGTTTTGAAATCGGGCGGTATCAAGATGAACTTGATTTTGACGTAGCTCCGATGCAAGCTGCTCATGTGTTGCTAGGGAGACCCTGGCAATTTGATCGTGGTGTCTGTCATTATGGAGGCACAAACCAGTACAAGGTTCGGCATAAGGGGAAGAAGTACTTGCTGGAGCCATTATCCCCGAATGAAGTCCTAGAAGACTGGCGACAATTGGAAGCTCATCGGCGGCCTGTGAAAGACGAGTCTGAGGAGGCACGTTCAGAGGAAGCTGAGACAAGAAACGGCGTGATCCGGCGGTTAATGCTAACGGGTTATAAGAGGCTGAAAACGCCTCGACCTCGCCGGCGCTGTTCAAACTCGCCGGAGCATAGCAGGAGAGAGGGTCAAACGGGTGGAGCTTTTGTGGATGACCCGATCCAATCAAATGACACCATTGTGTTCCCTACAGCCCCGAGAATCTCTTCCATTGACAAAATCGAGCTGATCCCTTCTGTTTTGCAGGATTCCGTTCGAACTTATCCTCCTCTGCAACTACCCACGAACAAGGGAAAAGCTGCCGAATGGGATGAGAAGATCCAGGTCTATTCGAACCAAGTGAATGATGTGGAACCATCAGGGAAGATCCCAGGAAGCTTTTGGAGTGATCAATCGGTGCTGGGGATGATCGAAGTTGAAACGCCCAAATCAAAATCTCAAATCCTGGGTTTCCAGAATATGAAGTCGACTAGAGGCGGGAGGAATGAAAATGTCGAAACGGCACAAATGGCGACGAGTCGAGCCCAAATGCTGGTGCAGAATTTCAATTCGAAGCTCGACGGATCCATTGGTGACCAGGAATTGAGCTGTCGATCCCCGGAGAAGAAAGCCCCAATTCGTCGAATGAAGAACAGTGACCAGATTTTCCAGAATTATCAGTTTGGGTTGCCCACTTTCGATCCCATTTGGGACCAATTCTATGCCGACTTTGAGAAGCGAAGGGTACCAGCATTGAGGACAAAGCTTTTTGAAGAGGGGGAGCCTGATATGATCCTGGATTGGTTCATTATCGAGCTAGAGTTACTTGCCAAAGAAGTCAACCCAAGTCATTTGAAGAACATGAAGTTGTGGCTAAGTCAATTGCCGTGCTCAAGTAGCCTACTTTGGAGGCAAATTTCTTTCAATTGGCTTGATGAAATGGTGCATTTGAAGGCTTGTCGTGAAGATAAAACTTTATTCTATACGATGGTGGGCTTGGTGGAGCAAGACAATGTGCTGAAGGACATTATCCAGGTGTGTAAACATGCTAGGAAGCAATCTGAAAACTGCCAGAAAACGGCTAAGGCAGGAAGCTACTTTGAGACTCTATTCGACACATATGGATGATAATTGAGTTAGGAGCTTCTTTCCACATGAAAGTATGCATGTTAATCTACAAAGGAGGGGCATTGGCTGATTCATAGCATACCTGGAAGACTTCCATCGAGTGGCTCAAAGATGGTATGGAGGCCTGTTTGGTGACTTGAGCAAAAAGGCAGAGTTGGAATCCTTGTTGCATTCAGATTCGTTTGTTTTGAGTTTCCTTGTTGGTTTTAGCTTCTGATTTTGTTTTAGGTTAAATTGTGAGCTATATTTACGCATCGCAAAGGGTCTGTAATATTGGTTCGTTGATTGATTAAGAAATAAAACCCTAAAACTAAGTGTCATCGCTAGTTTTTGGTTGAGAGTTTGGCCGAGAAAACCAAACTCGAATCAAGCTCTTGTATCGATCAAAATCGCATTGATCGTGGGCGAGCATCGACTTATATTCATTGAGCCTTCCTCCAGGTGTAGGATTGCACATTGAATTCCATCTTTACCTCGTGTTTCGTTGTGATTGACGGTTCGTGGAAGAGTTCTCGAGCTTGAATTGTCAAGCTTGTGTTCGAACAATCAAACACCCATAGTCGGGTGTTATCAACACCAGAACAAATAGTCTAGTATTTCACCAAAGTATTGGATAGAGATACTACAATGCTGGTAAATCAATATGTTGCTGGTGATTTCACTCAAATTACTGGAATCCAATGGCAAGAGCATTTCATCAATCTAGGAAGGAAATCAGAGAACTAGTCCAAGAAGTTCATCACTAAACTAGTTAAATCTACCCAAGCAAGTGATGACGTTGAATCCATCCTTCACGAGCCAAAGAAAGAGATTTCTTAGCAACTAAAAAATGTTGCAATGATGCCAAGGAATAAACCAGTGACATCCTTATATGTTTGTGATACTTGTGGACAAGAAGGTCATGATAGTAAAAATTGCTGGAACCTTGGAGGTCAAGAACATGTTCATGTCAATTTCATCACTCAAGGTTACTAAAATTGGTAACCACAAGGAGGTTCCAATAAATTATTGAAGCTACAATCAAAATCAACCCCAAGTGTCATATGGTCAATGGACAAACCTTGGAAGAAAGAAGCCAAAATACTACCCAAATATTACATCTTTTAGAGCCCTTTATATTCATGACCAACAATGAAGCAAAATCCCAGTCCTCCTAGATTCGGGAACCAACCACAATATAAGCAGGAAAGAGAAAGCCCTTCCGATCCACAATCTTCACAGTAATATCTAGAACAATCAAAAAAAGGAGGAGTTTAAGGAAATTTTTACAATATCAGGGCATCCCAAATGTGCCTAGACAAGGAGGAAAAATATGAGCAAATTTCGAAAAGGATGGCCGCCTTTAAAGAAGACACTTAGTACCATCCTCTATTTCTGAATGTGTTAGCAACTCTTCAACACTCAAACAACCCAAAACCTCAAAGGTAGATTGGTGCCTAAATTGACTCCCATTCACCAATTTATTCACGTTACGACAATTTCTAGAATATTTAGGAATCTCGTCTTTGACTGATGTTCTCCCAAAATCATGTCCCCATGAGTGGTTAGTTCGTTAGTTGTGTAGCTTTGTGAACCCTAGAGGTTCTTTAAAATTTGTAACAATTGATTCTTGGTTGTGTATGAGTATTTGAGTTCTTCTTTTATGTGTTTGATTTCTTACTTTAATTTATTTTCAATTTGATTGTGGCTTAAAATGAAACTAATATCTCATAAGATATACCTTTTCAAATCCAACTATGTGATGGATGTGATTGGACACAACCATCCTTCATAATCTATCATCAATTGGTTGAATAGCGTAATACCTCAAGTGAGGAATCTGTATGGTCTCTATAGCCTACTAGGTTGGGGAAATGCCACGATACAATGTAGGAATAACCTACTAGAATCAAACAGCTCGTATGTTACGTTGCTAGTATTAATCGCAGCAAGTCTAAGTAAATTCTAAGGTGACCTTGTCTATGCAACACCTTTCCTCTTCTGCTTTCCCCTTCCAAAGTCGGCTTAGACTTTCCTTTTTGTTTTTTTTTTTTTTTGTTTTGTCAAAATCAAGGGGAACCTCAATCCAGAAAGCACTTCAACCACCACATTCGTCTGAAAGTCCAAAGAACAAGTCACTTACAATCCGAGTAAGTGATCGTGGGAGATCCTAAGTGAATATAATTCTGGTTATCGACTTGGTAAATTTGTGTTTGTTCTACTACGAATCATGAACCTTAACATAAGTCTGCCAATCCAAGAACATTGATCTGGAAACATACGCTTTGAAATATTAATATTAAAGTAAAACGCCATAATGTAGGCACTCAAACAGCAAACAACACATACGCACCACTACGATTAATTGGAGGGTACTAGTTGTGAGAGATCAATGCGGTTGTTGGATGAAAAAGCGAAAAGTGGAGAGAGGAGAGAGGATAGAGTTTTCCCCTTAATGTTTACTTTTCATCATTAATTTTTTTTAGTTAGCGGAAACTTGCTTATGAAAAAAAAAATTAAGTGACAAGATAATTTACATGGACTTTTAATATAAAGATCACCGTAAACTATGAAATTTTCAAGAAGTACTATAAAAAATAATTAAAAATATACATCGAAAAAAAAATAATAAAAGCATCAAAAAATTAAAAGGAGAGAAAATAAATAAATAACTGCAGTAAAAATCTATAAATAAATGGCCCACCATTTGCAGGAAAATCTTTTCAAAGGAGATACATTCCAAAAAGAAAATGGTCATAAATCAATCTCCGAGTAATGTGGATTCTGTTTCTCGTGCCTCTCAAATCTAACACAACTTTTTTTCCGCCCCTCCATTACCTTGTTAGCCAACGCCTATTGACTTGAAAATCTATCTATCCTGCATGATTACAATTAAGAGAGACAACTTCGGCTCGATAATCTTAAGCAACAACACCGCCATGGTGATGCATACATGAATCTCTTAAACCTACTTCGTAACGAGGATAGAACTTTCATGGTGATATTTATAGAATTTCTGACAACATTTTTCAGCTAAACTATCTCTCCAATAGGACTTGGATTTCCCAAATTGTAAAGGTTCGCATTTTAATCTTGTTGTTCTTGAATTTGATGTTCAATTTATTTTGTAAGAATTTTATAGGCAGTGATAATCTTATATTTTGAGTTTCCCAGGGACCAACGAGGATTGAACTGCAATTTTAATGCCTCTTTCTAAGTTCTTGTTGGGGCATCTTCAACTTATAAAATTATATTTTAACGATCTTCTCCGCGATTTAATTTTCAGGAGCCACCACCTTCTAGAGCTTCAAAGACAACTTGGCCGAATCTTGAAGTCTAGTGTATTTTATTTATGAACATATTCTCAAGGGTTTGACACAAATCTAGGGAGTACATACATGGAGATTTCCAGGGATAATGAGTCGATCACAAATAGCGAAGTAGAAGAAATTGATAGAGAATCCACTAATAATGACATCCAACAGAATGAAAACCTTGTCCCTCGCGTGCGTCTCCCTGGCCTAGTCCGAAAGAAAGCCTACATATTTGATGGTTACGGGAATTACTACAACAAAGAATGGGATCTAGCAGAAGGTATAGGCCAGGAGTTCTGTTGGTACCATATTGAGCTCCCAAGAAGCAACCAGAAACTAACTTCATCTGCACAATGGCTCATCGACCTTCTCTGCCCTCCCTTGAAACTTCAAGACATCTTATCACTAGTGAGCAACGGACCCTTCTGTGGATATGTAGATGGAGCACTGGTGTTTAGAGTTAATTCTCCCGGTCCCCCTTCGAGCAACTTTACGTTCCGATTGGCTGCTAGAGTTACCGAAAATTCGGTTATTACTGTATCATTAGGTCACATTCCTAGGGTAGGATTCTCACCGACGAGCCAATCTCTGCTTTCGGAGATTCCTAGTGTGGAATCTCCTTACCGTAGAGGGAGGAACAGGACAGCTGCTGGACCTGTGATTAAAGAACATGTTCTTGAGTTCCTTTTGACGATGAATCACTCGGAGGAGGCTGATAATCCAGTTCCAAAAACAATCTCAAATCTTGTGGTTCATATTCTTGACACTCATGTGGACCACCTTCAAGATACTGTGACAAAATTAGAGATGGAGTTAGAATCTGTGGAGCTTGACTTGGATAAAGGTAAGGAAATTTTGATATGATAGGTAGGCAAACATACATATTAAAGTGTCTTATTTAATAAATAGGTAGGTATGATATGTTTTTTAAGAAGTATCTTTTGTTTATCTTAACAACTTCGTTTAACATATTGTACTTTCGCTAAGGGAATTAATCTCAAATCATCTTTAAATGTAATCGAGGTTATTTTCATGATCTTTTCAGGCAGTTTTGCTTTGAAGAAACAAATGCTAGATGATAGAAGGTTCCCAAAAATGCACCTTAATCTCCAACGGTTGCTTCAGGTGTGTTATTTGTTGGTTTCTTCCTATATATATTCTTCTAATGGAAAGAGTAGAACTTGAACGATACCCATGGTGGTCCCTAGGGAAAGAGTAGAATTTTTCTCTCTTATTTTATGGATTTCTATTTTGTGTCTTATTGATTATGAGATTTTATTGAAATAATAATTCGTTGATAAGTTTTAATTTTTATGAAATAGTATGATTATTTCACATATGGTATTATTTTGTGAAAATGTATAGTATATTTCTGGATGAGATTTTGTTAAAAAAATATTTAAATATTTTGATTTTTAATTTAAGAGTTCTTTGTTTAGCTTATAGTTTTCAAATTATAATTTGGTATACAAAAATTAATTTTTACCATAATTTGATATTGAATGTGAATTTTTTTCATACATATTCAAAATTAAAATTAGATGAAATGAGGAACTTTTTAGAATGTTTTTTTCCATTTTAATAATTTTTTGTATGATATTTGATGGTAAATGACCAATAAATTTTAGGTATGTGTATGACATGAAATGTAATACGAACTTTTATTTTTAAAACTATCCAAGTAATTTCCTATATATAAACAAATTATGTAGTTACTTATCATTAATAGTATTATTACGGGGAAATTCATCATATTCCAACTTGAATTCCTTACTTCGCCCCTAACGATACATAATCATAAGTTCTATTTAACCTACATGGTTGTAGGTGATTGCACATGGGGAACAGGTACT